AACGGAAGTCGCCGACTCCACCCACCGGAAAGCCGTGTTTGGATTGGATCACGCATTCAATGGAAATCATATTATTTTATTTTGACAAGTTTGATAAATAACGCTCCAAAAAAAATAAACAGCCGAACGAGGGATAGGAAATAAAGTATAGATAAAAGTTGGGAGGACGGAGTCGTCCAACGCTGGAACCCAACTGAAGTAAAGAGTGGAAGAGCTTTTTCGGATCGCGGGGCAACGCAGAGTTATTCGGTGTAGCAATATTTAAAAATTCCTGGGGCAAAACAGAAGGTAAAAATTCGCTGACTCGTTTATCATCATTTTTTTCTTGCTAAAAAATCTGAAACTAATTCAATGGAATCAAACTCTTTAAACGGCTTCGCCAGTTCAATTGACTTCAAAGCATTGCGACTTGAAATGCATTTTTAAAAATTCTGTGAACAAATCCATATAATCAAAAACAGAGCTAAAATCCAGCTTTTCGAAAAAGTTCATCAAATGCTCAAAAAAAAAAAAAGACGAGTAAAGATCATCTAACGAACTCTCGGATCAATCCCAACGATAATTTATAAATCATGATGGTACGCGAAATCGTCCAAGAAAAATAAATCTAGGGTGTTCGGGTTGAATTTGTATTTCATCTATGTTCATTATATAAATTAAAATTAATCCAGGAAAGAATTTGGTGAATGATTCATAGACGATAATAAAATATTAGTAGGTAGACGTGATAGTGAACAAAATGTTTATACCGAAAATCTTCAAAATTTTTCCTGATCCACCGTATTCTATTTTCTCAAGTATTCGGCAGATGTCGCCCTGAATCATTCAATACTGTCCCAAGAATTTTCCCAAAAATCATTTAGTTTTCCTATTGACTGGCTGACAATTCCAAAAACACCTTCCACAAGCTTTGCAAAGCGTCAGAGAATTTCTCTGATAATTTCTTCAGAAAACTTATTGGATTTTCGTTCTTGTTCGAATTTTTGGGACACATTTTCCTAATTTCCACGGGCACCTTCAGGGTTCTGGAAAACCAATTGAATTTATTCCTGCACTTCCTCAAGGGAAAACGTGATTTGGCGAACAAGCTTTGCTCAGGAACGCATCAAGTTCGTAAGCCGAGACCCCAATGAAATGATAAAAACCAAAGCAAATGAATTTGAATTAGCCTGAACTGAATTTGACCCAACGAAAAAAAATGCCGACGACATCTACAGGATGGAAGGGAAAGATCAGAGTCAGAGCCACAGGACATCAAACGTAAGATGGTGTGATTTTAAAAGGTTAAAATCTAACAGACCAAAAGGTCCACAAAATAATCCGTCAAATAACTGGAATTCATTAGGAAGGAAATTCGTCCTCAAAGAATTCCAGTAAGAAAGAACGTGTACTAGGAACCCAGTTCAAAGGTTTTTTTCATTTATATTCAGTAACTGGACTAAAAATGAGAGATATTTTTACGGCGTTGGTCATGATAACAATTTCAGGAGAATGAAAGTCTACCTAAAAAATTGTTACACAAAAAGGCAAGATAAAATATCCGAATCAGGCTGAAAGGAGTCCATCTTTAGCCTAAAAAAGTCCAAGATCCCTCGCGTCGGATAATGATTATTAATTTGCCTCATTCTTCAGGTCAAGCAGAATAAAATTCACCGACACACGAAAAGCCATAAATCCAAGGGTTAGGTAAAAAAAAATTACACGATTCTTCCCGTCCCTAAAACCCCTCAAGCATTCCTTCGGGTCCATAAAAATTCTTCTTTTCAAAAAAAAAATCTATTAATCAACTACTTCAGGTATTTCCCGTTCGAAATAAATTGTAAAAAAAACTTGTAACTGTGTAAAAGTCCCGTTTCTCTCGATCCTCTCACTTCGCAGAACCCGAAATAATTCCGAATCGAAACTGTTCGAAACGCCGTGTCAGATCGAATGTCACGCGCATGCAGCCAAATAACGTTATTTCATGCTCCGATTATCAAGACTCGTTCCTGCGAGGAAAAAAAAAATTAAATAAAATATGCCACTCATGAATCACGTAATACAAATATTTTAAAACTACGCCCATAAACCACCTGTCATTTAATAACGGACGTTTGATGGGCCGAACTGAACTGAATTTTACACCTGCTGAACCGAACTTTTTTTTTCTCGAATAATTCCTCAAGAATTCAAACGCAAATGAACAGACCCTTCTCGGAGAAAAAATAATAATAATATAAAATAAGAGGACAAATATAAAAAAAATTTCCTATCAGCTTCGTTCGACTTGAGAAAGAAACCACTTTTTTTCCATTTCCTGGCCGAGAATGACGGACGAACGACGACGACGTTTCACTTTCGATGACCACTGCTTCGCTGAATGACCCCGATTCGAAACCTCTTTCCCTACCACTTCAATCATTTCTTCTGCATTCAAAAAATAATTACAGTATATAAAAAGAATGTCAGATTACGTTAGTCTACACACTGTACAGTATTTGAAAACTTCACGTTTTTATTTATTAATCAAGGCAAAAGTAACTCACTCACTGCACTTCGAGCCAAACAACGCTGGTGCAACGAGCATTCGTCAGCATTCATTATGCAAAATAAATTGCAAGCATTTTGCGCGGATTTCTCAACTGAAACATTTTCACCATGGTTCATTAATTTTAAACATGAACAAAATAGAAGGCAAATGATGCAAAAATTCAGCGTGCAATCAAGTCATCAAGAATTAACACAAAAATAGTTCTGAAAAGAAACAAAAAAATTGATTTCAAGTCAGTCCACATAAAATCTGGAACCCCCATTGATGGCAATGACTCCATTTGTTTCAGATAAATTCATCAAAATTGTGCAGAAAAAAAATTAAATTCTCTGCATATTTCGGCAAAGTGTCGTTGATCGTTGCCTTTCCCGCCAAAAAGGTTGGCTTCAAGATCAAGACATGCTTCCACTTCACGAAAACTTGGATTCCTTCGATTCGCCAATCGTTTACTAGCACACTTTTTTTTTTTTGGAAAAACACACGAACTTGGATTTTGATTCTCAAAAATAAATATGAATTCGACTAGTAATTTCGTTGCCTGTTGGCCTTGTTTTTAAGCGTTCCTGATGCACTTTCATGCTTTTGAAAGTTAGAGGAATCTCTCCACGGTATTCGTCATAATACCCTAATGGAACTTGATTTCTAATCGTTTCGAAATGGTTAGAGATTAAAAATATGAGCAGGAAATGGTCAACTCTTCTTTCCGGTTCAAGTTTGGTGTACAGCATTTTGAGAAGAGTTGACAAATGCCGTGATCAGAGTTCACACCGTTTTTGAAACTCGAAAGGTCAGCAAAACGTCCAAGAAAGTATTAAATAATTATAGTAGATTAAAAAATTAATCTAAAAAACCACGTTTTCAAAAAACAAAAAATAACCTAATATTCTTAAAATTTATTTTTTTTACAAAAGATTGCATTGTCATCAGTTTCTAGGCTATCCTGAAAGTTTCAGCTTGATAGCTAGTTGGGAAGTGAGTGAAATTTGAGTTTCAAAATTTGAACCGGACAAACAAACAGACAAGAAAGTGAGTTCATAAAAACGTGGTAAAATAAAGAACGTTGATTAAAATTTCATCACTCAAGTACCAAAACTAGATCATCAAATCATTACAGCTTTTACACTAATAAATGAAAGGGTCAGGGAGTAATGAAAGAAGTATCACGACAAAAAAATTACAACGTCAACGAAATCCGGAATGGAAAGAATCAAATCGTAACCAATAAGAGCTTAATAATCTGTGCAATAGTAAATTAATTTCTTCTGCTTTCGTAGGCAAAAAATTTGAGTAAACATTCAGTATTTGTAGATTTAGACATTTCTGCCTTTATGAAAAAAAATGCCAGTAAAACTTCTCTACCCGGAAAACTATTTAAAGATTTCTCTGCTTAGCAGCTATTTTATCGTCCAACTTGATTAATCTACACCCCCCAAATAAGCGTCAAAAACAAACACAGAACAGATAAACTGAAGTCTTTCTTGTCATCATTTCTGTTAATCGCGCAGTGATAAACTGACCAAATCCAACTGGAACCGGTTTCCAAAATTTCTAAGTAGGATAGAATATCATGCAGTACTTTAGCTTCTACACAAATCGAAAATAAGTAAAAGTACAGTAATCGTAGTTTTATTCCATTACCATTTGCTCGGATATCATAATACTGTATCAAGGATGATAGAATGCCACTGAAAACTTGTATTCCATAAGGGAAGAAACATTGAAAAATGACCGCTATTTGTGCAGTAAATTTACTCGATAAATCATTCCATTCGACGGAAATGGAACGACTATCAAGTGAAAATCTACATTTGTACAAAAGCCAATTTTTGTTTCGAATTCTGGCACTTGATCAGAGCCCGGATAACCAGATTTTTCCAGGACAGGACACTCGAAAACACTTCATCCCGAAGAAAATACCTTGAAATTTCGACAGGAAGTACGAAACTACTAAGAAAAACTTTAAAATTTGCAATTCAAGCAATAGTTGAAGTAAAAAAATATAAATAGGATATACTGTAGTTCAAAGTCAATGACTCGGACCTCCTCAGTCTGATTTCTTCAAAAACAAAGCATTAAAAAACCTCTCCAACTCAAAACCTTTCCTTTTCAAACCTTCACAACTCGAAATTTTCCGGAGGCCTTTTGGCGATTATTTTATTGACACAGGAAAGAGAAAAGCATTACAAATGTGACATGAAGTGCTTCGAAAAGAAAATAAGAGACTATCATCAGACAAATAAACGCTTGCCTCCACGTTCAGCAGCTTGTCAACTCATTTCAAAAGCAATTTAAGGCCTAGAATACAATATCACCAATTACCATTTGCTTTCCTGCAATTTTTCTTTCTTCCCCCAACACAGATTCCTGTTTCCATAAATCGAAACCTCCTTAAAACGATTTATTCCCTCAAAGTTCGACTGAAAGTACTTCGACTGTACTAACATCAACAAAATTGCCAGAGAAAAACTACTCACTTCTGGTCGACGTCTTCGTCATCGGTGCTGACAGCAGCTAGTGTCGCGTATCCCTTGTCCTTGCCTTTCTTGTCCTTATCTTTCCCTTTCTTGCCAATCAAGATATCTTTTCGCAGGAATTTGTCGTGACCATCGTCGGTAACTGAGAATTGAAGGGATAATTATTTTTACATCCTATTTCACAGTCAAGAAATCATTTTAATAAAAAAAATAGAATTCGTGTACTGCACTTACAATCACTGCCTTCACTGCCGCGACGCTCGGATCCATAAAGTCCAGGGAAGTCCTTTTCGACATCTGGACTGTCAAAATCCATTCACGCAATGAGCCCACCACTCAGCAATGCAAATCAATTCCACTATTGACCACCCTGTGCGATTTCAGCTGCCCAAAAACACATCTGAACACGTACAGTGAAGACCAGCCAATTCAGGGCACGCTGACTATTAATGTCTGCTGGGATGCAAAAGAGAATCGTGGGTATTTCAGCATTCCTAAGATACGTAAACTCCACTCAAAAAAGTGGAAAATTGGAAATTTCCTGATGAAATTCATCGGAAGTTTCAATCGAGAAAGAAATCAACAGTCGAGAGACAAACGGAAAATTTTAGACGAAGAAAAATGTTCGTTCCATTGAATTTTCTCCACCACACTTATTGTTTCACTTTAGAAGCAGGGGAGCTTTTTTCACGATGATACATTCAAAACACACGTACAAAGAAATTATGATTTGAATAGCTCCAAATTTTTTTTGGAACAAATAAATTGGTATCTTATTTCCACGCGCAGTTTTTTAAATAGTAGTCCAATTATTTTTCTACAAATTTCTGGAATTTTATTATTTTTTTTACGCATCACCAATTTAACGTCTAGGGCAGTTAATTTTCAATTCAACTCCCATATTGAGCTTTTTAATTCGTAAAATAGAAAAATTTTGCGAATCGTTCACGATTAAGGGCATCACAGCAGAGTGTGACTGACTTTCAGGGCAATTTTTGGCACACTGGTCTCGCAGGAATGCTTCATTAAAAACAGAAATTCCGGTGAATGAGGGAAATAAAATTTCAGGCAGACAAATAATAAGAGAATCCTCTCAAGGCATTTTCTCGCCTTACATACACGCTATAGTACTTTCAGCGCGCAAAAATTGATTCAAATAAGCCTGCGGCGGAAATCGCGACATTCTTCGCGCGTTTGGAGACATAAAACTTATGAATTTTTCTCAAAAAGAGAAGACTTCCACAGACGACATCTGCACAGACTATCAGTTGACTAGTTTCCAGAAACAAATAAAACGTGTATGAAGAATTAGGTACTCGAGATTTGCACAATTGTGCGCTGGATTTTAGCACACTTCATAGATTTGGAATGGCTCTTCTGGCCGAAACACAGCCGAAATCCACTTCTTTCAGCATCGACATTGCCAAAAAAATCACTTTCTTCTCACTATTTTCTAACAAACAAGTTTTTTTTTTCACAAGCACCAAATCCGCTTCAACCTGGAAACCGAGAACATGCAAGAACGCCATCATTGTTCTATACAAGCCATTCCACCAAAAAAAGCCGAATTTAAAATGAGAATCCATCACGTTTCGTTGATTTGTATTCCTCAATCAAATCTAGGAAAAGTGTCATGAAACAATAGTCGACGCTTCAAAAAACATGAATAAAGGAAGACCTTTCAGCTAAACGCGAGCAGAGTCACTTCCTGTCACCACAGGCTTCCTAGAGGATACATTCACTCACGACACAGAGTTACATCATTTAAGCAGCTATCAAAACTACTCGAATTTTCACACTTTCACCAGAAGAAACATGAACAATTTTTGAAAGGCAAAAACTCGACAACAGGGTCATTCGAACTCCAGTAAGGTCACTCCACATTCAACGAAACAAAAACCTCATTTGAAAAATCTCGCCATTTCGAACACAGATCTTTTGACCAATGACGATTTATTGTAACACGTAGGGAGGTTCAAAACCGTGAAGAATAAATCATAGGAAAGTTCTCCACCCAATTTACCCACAGAGAAAAAGCGTACTTCTTTTAAATTTTTCAACGGATTAGCAACCAGTTCAAATACATTTTCAAACGTATCCAGCTTCAAAAATGTCTTTTGTCCAAATAAGTAAAAATTTTAGAAGGTGGAGGTTAGCACCAGAGAATTTTTGTTAATTCTTTAAACACTTTCTTTGATTTGAGTAAGCATATTGTGGATTTGAAAAAAGCATGATGGTTCCAAATTACATTCCTGACCAGAAAAGTAGAGATGACCTCAATTTTTTACAGGGATAACCTTATAGGGATAGTTGAATGGATTTCTGGTGTAATAGGAGCTGCAACAAATCAACAATGTGCCTGACTCAGTGACAAGTTAGATTGGGCTACATTGAATAAATACAATTTCATAGTACAGTAAAATCTTGTTACAACAAACTTTTGGGGGCTTAAGAAAGAGTTTTTTACACTGAAGAATTTGTTATCCTGTAACAAGTTTTTAACAATTAATGACTGGAAAAATAATCATAACAGGCATGTTTATGAGAAATTCTTATTTTTCTCATATTCTCAAATTTTTATTGTTTGAGAACCTGATCTGAAAAATTTCAGCTTCAATTGTGCATTTTGTCAGTTGCATCAATCCCTTCATTCTGAAAGGATGGTGCAAGAACCACTTGAAGGCATGTTTTAAATTGATTACAGATTCCACCCATGCCACAAGAACCAGTCAGTCACATTTTGAACCAGAAATTCCAGTCTGTAGCAGAGTTAGTCAGGAAATTTCTACCCGGAGGATCTATTCAACATTCCTGAAAAAAGTTTGCTAGACCGGAATCAGGAAGTTTGATATAATGAGATTGTTCCAACATGTATTCAGTGGGCTTTCTTCTGGTACATGAGAAAAACTGTCATACAGAAAACTTTGTCGCAATGATTTTTGTTGCACTGTACCAGGATTTTACTGAATAATTTAACAAGAATTTTGGACAAGAGTCACTCTTCCTCTGCTATTCTTCAACCTTTTGGACCTCGCAAATGTAACAGGAAAGTGCATCTGTCTCCAAACTGTTTCGACTACAACAAGATGTGAAAATTCTGGCTGCAGAGGAACGATCTTTCAATGCATGGAAAACAAAATCATCAACAGGGAGTCCATTCATCCTCAGATGTACAATGCCGGGCATCATGAGAAATATCAACTAGCAAACTTAAACTTGCTTGACATCATAGAAGACATGAATTTCTATCGCAAACACCACCTTAGAATAATAAAGAGTTCTTCTGGGTACATTGCCAGAACAAATCGCCACTTCAGTCAACACACGGACACCGACCACGTACAGCGAAGTATCACGGCGCCACGACAATCAAGCATCCACAATTCACAAAAAACCCACTCGAATTGATCAACATTCCCACTTCAGCTTTTTCTAGAATCACAGACCAAAAACATGAAACGCAGAAAATTTCGTCAGCTACCATAACCAAGCGTTCATTCTTCTCAATTCAGTTGAAAGAGAACAAACGCGGGTGTTAGTGAGACAACTAATTTTTTTCACACGTTCCAGTTGCCTTCCAGAAATCCAACTAGTAAATTTTTTTCTCCATGATCAAATACTTATGAGATGTAATCTTTCATTTCGGAGAGCATTGGACGAATAACGCAGAATTCCCCATTTCTCGGGAATGTGGCAAAAAAATCGCTCAAGTTTCGGAATACACGGGAAAAATCATGCGTTCGACCATGGTTGCCTTGCCACTCGAACAAGTTGTTCGTGCGAACGAACATCAAATTCGCAGTATAAAAAAATCGCAAGCCGTGACGCGCCAAAAACCGGGCTTCATCAAACGATGGATATAGTCACGTTTATACCCAAATTCCCTTTGCAATCCGCAAATAGCTGGGCGATCGTCGTGTCGAACACTAAGCAGTCCGAATTCTGAATCGCACTCGCAACACCTTCGTGGATCGAACGCGGCGTTGCTTCCCAAGTAAGCCTTCTTCGCTGTCCATTCAGTTCAAGTCTGAAAATTACGAATACCAAAGAATGCCAATTAAAAAGTCCAATCTCATCCTAAAGAAAAAAAAAGAAAATCCGCCCAAACATTAATGTCGTGAATACCATAGAAGGGTCTCGAAAAATAATTTGAAAAACAAAAATGCAAGTGGTTTTCACACTAAATGACGACGAAACGACAAACAAACTGCCAAGGAATTAGAAACATTGGCCAATTTCTTGAACTTTTTGATTCATCGCTTTCGTATTTGAAACCTGTCTTTATATTTCTATTCCTGAAATTAATTCATGAATTACTAATTGAAATGGCTGCCACCAAAAGAGAAAATGCAATGCTATGTATGGAGCACAATAATGCTAAATTATTCAAGCCTTGAGTACGAGCCTTTAACCTGAAGAAAAGAACAAATCGGATCTACGCAGAAATGAAATAAATCAAATAAAACTTTTAATTGACGGTAACTGTTCCAAGGAATGGAACGGAATAAGAGGACTGATTTCACAGAAACTTAAATTTTTCGCTTGACAAACGGTTGTTGATCTGGAAGCCTCGACATATCTTCAGAATCAATCGTCATACGCGGTGATTATCACATACAGTATTCCAGTTTCCGAACTGACAACTTTGGCAATCCTCAAACTTACTTGTAAGCGAAGTTGTCAGCCTGTTTTCTCGTTCCTATCAATTGCACAATCGCGAAAAATTGCTGATGTCCGTCCACCTTCTCTTGCTTCTCGAGAACAAGCATGAAATGATGCCCAAAGCAAGACTGCATCATTACCCAATCCACAGCGCCAGGCAAGTTAATGTCAGTCGCCAAAAAAACTATGTCTTCACCTGCGAAATGCGCGCACACAATGAGAAATGGCTTTTCTCTTGGGATGAAAACGTCAGCGGCGAAATGCTGTACCTTGTAAGGTAGTGATTGACTTATGCACATGAAGCAAGTGAGGCATGACTTGCTCAAGAGACCCCAGCCACTTGCATGACGATCCAGGGCAAGGGCAAGTGTAAGGCCGGAATTCACAACAATCTTCGTGTTCAACTTTCTCCGTGTGAAGGAGTGAGACATTGCATCCCGAGCTTGCATATTTGCAAGGGAACATCACAGTACTGGCAACTTTCTCCATGGCGAGATTCCGGATATTACCTAAGCATCACGCGAACTCGTCGTGAGATATTGACGCTATTTCAAAGAGGAAGGCATGCGACCTACGTACCTAATGCACCTCTGCACGTAGGGCAGCAGGTCAATTTGGGGCGGCACGTGGAGCATACGAGGTGTCCACTGGAACATTGCAGAATAGGTGGGAGAACGTAATCGAAGCACACCGGACACTCGAATAACTGCGCAAGATCATTCACGGGGCCCGAAGCTGACGTTTCGCCGTGCACACGATTTTTCACCGGTAGCGTACCCGACGACGACGACAAATTCAAAACGGACAACGAGCCTGATCCCGTACCTCCTTTATTCATGTTTGCATTCCATTCACTCCGAACGCAGTCCCTGCAAATAAGCCAGTAGGAACATTCACACGAACATCAAGCATGGTCTACAGAAATAGCTCATTCCCGTGACACGATTTTCACGCACCCATCGACAAAAAACATCATCGTGACTGAATTTATCCGCATGATCTGGGTAAAATTCTGCACGAAATTCACATTTGAACTGAACAGGCACACAAATGCATAAAACTAATAGGAAAACCTTGCGACGGATCTGTGGTAAGCAACTGCGAAACGATGAATTTGGAGGCATGAAGCGCTTTAAGTTGAATACTGCTCTCAAGAAATTTAATTGTAGAGGTGGGAAGCAAAAATGTTAAATCGCTTCTCAGGTAGGCATTATAGTTCAACTTTTCGCATAGCTTCGATCAAAGCACTACAGCGTCACTCCTTCGAATACTATCTTGAACAACCAACATCCAAAATGAACTTTTCGGTGGGTCACCTCTGCTGTACAAGTGCCCAAAATTTTTCAAGACAACACTCGTTAACAAAAGCGACTTCAATAAATTTGGAAAATTAATCACGCGTTTCATTCAAGTCCTTCCGGAAACAAACAAAATCCTCACGTGCGTCGTGAATTACTCGTATATCTGGCATGAGCGACGTACAGTGTTCTGCATGTCTTTGGAGTGGGTCCAGTAAACGGCCTTCGCGGAGGTCCAGATGGGAACAGCATGTGCAGATGGCGAAGTTCAACTTCGATGTCCTTTCTCATAATTTTAAACTGTACTAAAACCACAGTGGAAATATGTGATCAAAATGAATCATAAAAGAGATTCTCTCCACAGGGAGAACGACGTACCTAAATAACTTCCACGGGATAAGAAATCATTGCCTCTCGGGAAATATTTCCCCATCATGAGATTATGAGCCTGCAGATTTATGACATCCTTAGCATAAATACAGTAGGTATATTCACCAATCTCGAGCTGTGGGGGTTCATCTATATGTTCAGATTTATCTGCGGAGCAGATGTTGATGTCTTTAATAATTTATTTAGATTCAGGACACAGGTATGTATATATGGTCACGTTACACCAGCATCAGCTGCTGTGGCATATAATGTACTGTAGTTCTGTAAAGTGTTATTCCAACTTCCAAGGTTCCGCCTCACATTATTCATGGAAAGCACATGATGAAATAATAGTACTGTATGCTATTTGCAAACCCAAACACGTTTTGACGCATTCATCTTCATGTCACTCAAGTTGGAGATTCACCATCATCATATGTACCAGCACAGGAGTGCAACTTCACGCATGCGTTTTGCGAAGTACTGATTGTCTCACTTTCAAATTTTGACGAGGTATTGGCTCGAGCATGCCAAAACCCAAATGTATGTTTGAGGAATCACAGTGTTTAACATTATAATGATCAACTACTGCATATTCAAAGTAACTTTTTTAACAATCTGAAGAACATGTCAGAACTTTAGAAGATCACAGGCTACTTATTCACGAATGTATTTCTACAATATGACCTAATATAAAAATATCAAAGGCTGCATTCAACTGGGACAACATCACTTCAGTGTACACCTCATTTTGTAGAACTATCATTTTTGTGCAATTTTTTACCCTTGTACTGTTTAAAACTATGTGTGAATAAAGAACAAATTTGTTTTTATATCACTGCGAAAACTTGTTATTTCAATTTATTTTTTACAGATGTAATTTGTGTAAGGAAGAATTTGTAGAAACAACATTGCTTGTACGTACCACTGGGTAAAACTTCATGACAAAACAGAATAAACTTATAGAGCATGAGATTATCTTTTACAAATCAGCCATTGTTAGCTTACACACCACCTTAGGGCACATACAAATGCGCATTGCAGAAAAAACTCCCTAGTCATTGTGCATCAAACTGAAAAGCTACTCAGTAAAAAGAAAATAGAACTTGGCATAAGAAAAAATATACTTCAAAATCCAAAATGTATCTTCTTCAAAAAATAAAAAAAAGAGCATCAATTCAACCGAAGGCAGCCTGGGACTCCACATAATCATCAGGATCGTCCTCTCCCGAAGCATCACCCGCTTCGGGATTCCAAATATCCGCAAAAACCTGCACTAAATCACTCTGCTCCATTGCTGATCTTCTCGCTCTATACTCCTGCAAATCTCGCTGAAAGTCCGACACTTCTTCCCCAGACTCATGTGACGCCATTTCTGATAATCGTAACCTCTTCTCCCCTCGTTCCGTCGAGGTAAACTGGCTGATGCCATTACAACCCATGCTACGGCCATCAGTTTGCAAATTCGACGAAGAAACTGGAACAGCATTCATTACTGAATCCCTGGCGCGATCTTTTCGAACAGAGGCATTTCGCACAACTGAGGATGAATCTTTCGAACAGGTTGCAACCAATGATTGTAAGAAGATGCCATTGATTCTCGTGTCTTCCGGGAGCAGTGACCACATCAATAAGGGGCTATAGAAACACCAAATCCAGTCCAATTAACGAAAGGAAGACATTTCTAGCCTTCTTTGCTACATAGTTCTAGCGAAGCATGAACATTTTTTCCAAGAGAAATCTTTGTTATAACGAAAAATTTGTCATAATCAGATTCGTTGCAACGGAATCTTACTGTAATTTAATTACAGTAATTTTAAAACCATTTGTGATACAGCGTCAATGAAAATTATGAGAATATTCTTGATACATGGAAGGACGTTCGCCCAAAAAAAATTCCATCAAGAAGAAAGAAGTTGCCTCAGGGTTGCAAAAAAATTATTTTGCAAATTACACAGCCTTTAGATTGTGCTACAGTCATTTCGCAGATTTTGTCTCATGAATTTAGGAAACCATTGTAATCATAGAACTGCATTTCACAACGCTGACATAATTTTTCTTTTCTATGAACGAAATCTAACGATTTTTGAAGAAACATGACGAATGCTTCAGAGGAAAAAAAATTAATCGAAGAAAACCTGCATGACCAAACTCCAATTCCGCAAGAGGAAATATCTGCCACAAATTCGCTCACCTACGGTCACCAAGTCCATCAAATGTAAGGACCAAGGTTTCCAGATTTCCATGAGTGAGAAGTCTTCGTAGTCCAAGTAACGGAAATGTGAAGGTAACTGGCCCATTCGACGTATCCACTTTATACAATGCGAATTCATTCGCATTCAACCTCGTTTCTGTTCGCACACTTTTTGCTGAAAAAGATCCGTCACTATAGAGCTGCGAGTGAATCTGCGCGAAATGAAATTAAGCACTGCGCTACTCACGTCTTCCAGGGGGGTGATAATTTTTCAACGTAACCCCTTCGGAATCTAAAATGAAGGTGAGAAAACGCTCCTGACGTTGGAATCCTTCCAAAATGCTGATAAGTTTATCTACTTCTATCTCGAGCTCATTTTCTTTTGGTCGAGTTGTGACGGGCTGTGAAAGGAGAGTATTGAAAGTCAATCAAGCCGATCTGAAACCAAAAGTGAAGATATTGTCTGAAGCCATTCTCCTAGATAATGAAGTGAAGTGGGACCCCGACATACGGACGATTCGACTTGGGGACACTCATAACTGAAAAAAAAATTTTTCACAAATATTCAGACGTTTCAATATACGGTCATTTCTCCAAGGTTCCTGGAAATTCATGGATAGAAATTGTTTTCTTCTAAATTCTGATATTTCTTGAACAGATGGAGGAATTTATAGTCAGCAAAATTTCAAGTAAATTTCATTACAAAAATTACTGTAATTCATAATTAAAAGCAGGTTACTTTTGTGCTGCTTCTTTCAGTGTCTTTCCAACCACTCGTGCAAAATATAGCTAGACTTTTTCTTGGGTTCCTGAGCTCCTTCTGATGCCAAAAAACATCAGATTCTGTGTGTTTTTCTTCACCACACTTATTTGCTGTATCTTGAAACGGAGAGAACAATGTTCACTCAATTTCTAGGGACTTCATTCCGGATTTTCGATGAACAGCAGAACCGAGTAAATATGATCTATCGAAGTCTACAGAAAAACATTATCTGACACATGGACGCACCAACGTTGGGACAAGGTCCAAGCACGAATTACGTCCGCATCTCGGGGTTCACTGGCATAGGCCTAATTCTAGCTTTCAACTTCAAATATTCTTATGTTTTTTGAATTCCCACACAACTCGTTCCACTGGTTTTTAAAAATGATCATAGCACCAACACTACAGAAGTCTGTAAACGAAAAAACAACATACAAAATCGATTGAATTTTCAGTCAAGCTAAAATACATTTTTGACAACTCATCTTTCATATCATACTGTTTTGATAACCATTGGACGAAAATGGCTCAAGACGGACACCATGAATGCGCTAACCGAAACTTCTCTCATAATCCAGAATCAAAAATACCAATTTTTCAGCCTCTTGCAGAAACATTGAATCGTAATTTTAACGCCGATGAAGAAAGATCCCGGTGAAAAAACAGTCAAGATTATTTCATAAAAGTCCTCGCAAAGCTATTCCACATCATGTATGCACTTAGCCGAGCTCACCTTCATTTCAACAGGTTCCGAAAAATGATGGAATGCTTTCTTCACCCAACCAGCATAGTGATCAAATCGAAGAATATACTCCGATGATTCCACGGAATCAAAAGTCAAGGTGAACAGACGCACTTGATCCAGATCCCCAATAGATTTGAAATGTTTCATCATGTGCTGTAAAGGCAAGACACATCAAAAAATCATCCAGAGAATTCAAAGAAAAACAAAAATCCGCAATCACAAACACCGACCTGCATGAAAAACATTTTCTCCACTCTTTCGTCTCCAAAAACATCTTCAGGCACGTCGTATTTGTTGAAAATGTTCGTTTCAAACGTGAACTCGGCGTAGGCAGTCTTCTCTTTATTCTTCGCGCGTAGCAACAAAGTGTCGGGTTGGAACACCATGTGCGCCACGGTGGCTTGACGAGCAATCACGTGAAATGCTCTCGCAAGCGCTGCAATAATGAGGAGCAATTGGAATCAGATTTAATTCAACATACAGAAGTAAGTGTGCACGCCAACCTTTCAATGCCGCAGTCTCCACCTCTACTCTGAAAGCCATCTCGCATGCCAAGAATGTGAACAACTGTGGAATCAGCCTCAATTAAGAGCTTCATTGGCTGAAAATGCACAGGTATCAGTCCAGGAAATATGGAAATCGTGGAAGGTATGACCTCATTTGGCCCATGGATCAGATGAGATCACACATGGCTCAGGTATGAGGTCTGAACTATCACAGAGCACTTTTCATTATGCAGTGGCTAACATGAATAAAAATGTCAATAGCCAAACATAGTTTTCCCAAGAGGAGCCACTTTTCCACTTTGTTTCATATCCTGTCCTTTTTTAAGCTTATGTCAAGCTTTTCGAGGCCGGAAAAAAAGAAACCACCTTCTTACAGTTGAACCTATATGATGAAAACATCCCCAAGTTGATTACCTCCCCATGTAAAATTGTTACCAAGTCCCTCTCCAAATTCTTTTAGACTTTTACAAGCAATGAACAGTATAATCTGGTTACAAAAACACATTTAGCACCTTAAAAAGGTTCATGGCAAAAAAATTGGTTTCAAGTGAAATTAAAAGAATATTGTGGCTCATGGACAGGGAAAAAAGAACAAATCTTTAGAAAGCATTAACTTGCTAAACCAATTCATTTTCACAAGATTCCTCTGTGTTACAAGCCTACAAAACTTGACAGCTTCTCCTCAAAACTTTATAACTAAAATTTTCTTCGGGCCTTTTGGCAATCATTTTTGTAACCCAGTAAAGAGGAAAACAACAAATGTGTAAGTGTAACTTATTTATTATTTTGGAAGGAAGTGGAAGACCAATTGGGCAAATAAACCATCATCTTCAGCATCCTGTCAATATTTTCGCAAAGCAGTGTTGGGCAACATTTAGCTTCAACAACTTTCTTCAATTCTTCTCTTATTTGAAGCAGAAATGATCAGTTTTCCCAACTCAAGCATTCCAGCATCAACTTTTGTTTGCTGGTACCTTGGAATTTTACTTGAAGAGGTTCAACTGCAATATGTTCTTCCCCTTGATGTGTGGGCATACAAGTTTAAACATACAAACATTCTCCTGACCAAAAGATTTTCTCAGATGCTAGATCAGACCTCATACCTGCAACGAAAGGGGGCACCACTCCCACAATACACACTTGTACTCTCTTCAACAAAACTTAAGGGACCATACATTTTTTTTTGCACAGAACCCCTATAATATGGGGAGAGAGCCCTACGTGACCACACAAAAATGCATGATATAGACAAAATATTTGTGGACAAGATGATTGTAGAGAGTATATGTGCATAATTGATGATGAAAATTGAACCATAGAAACGAGTAAGCCATTTATGACCGAACTTCAACATGGTTCTGTGAAAAATTACAAAATGTGAAGCATTTCTCACACACTTCGCAAAATGCTGCGTCAACAATCTTTCGAACATTTTACGCTCGTACTAGGAGCATTTTTCTGGATCAGCTCAAGAAAGGTTGAAGAAATCATTAATACAGCCTCAAGAAATGATGCAATCGAAAATCTGGAAATTCTACTAGAATTCTGTACGATAAAGCATCCACAGATTTACTGGATTGCGAACTTAAAATGAAGTGAATGAAGCTGATCTTCGCGTTATTAAATATTTCTGTGCGAATCCTCATAACTATAAAAAAGGCGAAGTTGCGTATTCCTCTTTTTCGATTGACGTCCAGAATAATTTTTGGACGGATCACGATACAACAATAACGACTCGATCGACACAGAGAACGTGGCTGTCCAATACAAGAATAATTTTCTAAATTAATCCATGCATCACTGCGATCGTCTGGCTATGCGAAATCTATCTCGACCGTCATGACAAAAGCCATCATTCGGATGCCCATTCACAGCAGAGTTCAACTCTTTCAATTCACGAAACTGAGCTCGAACTTCCTGCTCCAAGAACTCCAAGTATTGGAATAAATCTATCTCAATTTTCCCATGAGAGACAACGTGCTTCGAAAAAACGAGTAACGGAAGCTTCTCGAGAGTTCGCGGTGTCAAACCGACGCACAAGTTCGCGATTTGTTTCAATTTAGAACTCGCATCTTCGCTCGCAATCTCGTTCCTCCGGTCGGGACTCCGAGAACTATTGCAGACGTTCGATAACTTCGCATTCTCCAGCAAGGATTCCAGAATTGCATCTGCCTCTGCCAATTCGGCTTTTCGTCCTCTCTCGGGAGTGAAAATTCGGAGAAAATCTTTGTCCTCCATCTCACCAGAGGCATCAAATCGAACACATTTGCTCTGCTTCAGCTGAAAGCAACTTTGGCGCAGAATCTCGTACATCACTCTTACTGAAGGTAGACCAACGTATCGCTTGATATCCGCACGTGAACAGAACGCGGAGTCAACGGCCTCGGTCAAGTTGGAGGTCGTCAAAATCAAAACGTTCTCGTGTCGTTTCAAGGAGTCCAATTGTGTCAGCAAAGCATTCACAGCACGCACTGAGTCCGAAGGTTCTGACGAAGCTTTCCTCACCATTGCTAAGCTTTCAATCTCATCGATCAACACAACAACAAGGTTCTTCGAATTTTCGACCATTTCTTTGATCCTATCAAATAATCTTGTGACCAATTTTCCGGATTCGGAGAACCAGCGTGAAAAAAGAGAATGCGAGTTGACTTGCACCAGATACGAGTTCTCAAAGGTTGAGCTCATGTACACGGATAATTTCTGAGCTAGAGCATGACACAGTGTCGTTTTTCCGGTTCCAGGCGGTCCATGAAGAAAAACTAGCTTGTTTCCGAGATACCGCATAGGTAATCCCCGTTTGGAAAAGAGTAATGAGGCTTCGACGAAGTTGAAAAGATCATTCTTCAAGGTACTTTCAAAAACCAAGGACTCCCAGACGTCGACATAATTTGCGTGGGGAAGTTGCCATACCTCGGCACACGATACACATTCTTCTGTATTCGATACACCATCATCCAAAAAATCCGATTCCGGCTCATCTGTTCGAAGAACGACGACGTGTGTGCGAAATTTAACTTCGTCCCAATCAATCGAGAAGTTGATGCTATTCAGCTCAGACTCCACGGTGATTCGGCCGATGTCAGGGAACAGGTCATTTCTGAGCAGGTCTGATGGAATGTTCTTTCCCACCAGGGCCGAGATATTCGCACATCGTACTAAGTTCACAACATAGCGCTCGAATTCGTCGCAGTCCAACGGAGGACGGTCAACATATACACAAACATCGACGATTTTCTCTTTCTCCGTCCTCATTCTGGCGAGAAGCAGGTTACAAAAAATTAAATAAATTGCAACACCATAAGACGAGAATCGTCACGATCGAGGAAGAGCCTTCTACACAACGCTTAAAGAATGATACACTTGGGATTAGTCAAACCAGGACCGGGCACTTATGCTATTTCGACGGAAGACATGACAAAACTCAGTTTTCCATAAATATCAGGAAGATGAAGGCTCGCGCTAAAACGAACCCTCAGTCTCACGGTTTTGGTGCGACACGTATTCCCTACATCAAATTGTACGGCTCTTGTCTCTTCACGCTAGCACCGCTGAAGCTCAATAGCACCGTCGACTTTCCCTGCCTGCCACACCGGTGTGGGCGGCACAGTAAGGCCGCACCCTTACGACCGAACGCGACATCTAGGGGAGGGAGACGCGAACCAGGGATGCGCGCGAACACAGGGGGTACGCGAACACCAGACCGGCTGGCGCCACGAACACGTGTTCGCGAGACACGGTGGAACCAGGGACACGTGGAGGATGATGACGAGGCGGAAGTGATCGGACGAGGAATCGGAGCGCGGAAGGAAGGGGTATTCTGATCTGTACTCTTGAGACGTGAAGTTGTAATCTCTGACCTCTAGTCTGTGACTTGTGAAATAGAAGGACGTGTGTGTGTTACCTTCACTGGAGTATTTCCTTATTGGGGGCTCGAGCCACCCTTTCCACACCAAACCTACTTTCAACGAATCTTCCTGCAACCAAATTCTTTCACAATGAACACCAGGAGTGGGGCCGTATACCCAAAAGAGCAAACCAAATCACGCACACCACAGGAGAGTGCATCGGAGGACGAAGGAGGAGCGGAGGAATTAACGCCCAAGGCAACGCGTCAGGACAACGACAACTCTACGTCATCGTCCGCGAGCATGTGGGAATCTTTACCACTAGCCACTCTACAGCTCTTGTCGGAAACATACCACCTGGGTCATCCCGNGGGGAGCTTGGTTCAACAATTAGGGGCAAAAACCGTGTCCGTGACGACAACTGTGGGAACCGCGCTAGGGCCGGACGCGATTCGGGTATCTCAGATGGTGCAGATTTCTTTTTCTTTTCATTCCACCGTATACCATGGCATGTTTTTGGTTTTACCGCACATGACGGAGTCTTTTATTTTCGGGCGCACCATTTTAGCGCAATTACTGATTGCAGTGACACTTGACGGCGCACGGGTTTTCACGGGATTTCAGGAAATTATGCGCCCCCCAACAAAGCCAAGCATGCCCGTCGGCACTGGCATACCGTTTGTGGACGGGACAACTGCAGAACGCGATTGGGTCGCTGGAATCCTCCGCCGGCATAGCCAGGTCATCCGTCAATGGTCAGGTAGACGCGGTCTTTTCACAGATTACGTGGTGCGGATTCCGACTGAGGAGGCATCACCACCAGCGGCCAGGCAGTTCCGACACTCAGCAGAGCGGAATGCGCCGTTCGCCGAACTCATTGACACCTATCTCAAAGCGGGGATTTTGGAACAGGCTGCATCACCCTATAATGCACCTGCCTTTCTGGTGGACAAAAAATGTGACGACCCAAATGCACCCATTGAGAAACGATTTCGATTAGTGGAGGATTACCGGGAGCTGAACAAACTGGTGATGACGGATAACTACCCGATGCCGATTATTCAAGAACTACTCGAAGCACTCGGACGAAATAACAAGTTCTTCTGCACCCTGGACCTGCATGCGGGGTATCATCACCTCCCGATTGCGCAGGAGGATCGGCCCAAAACAGCATTCATGACGCCGAGGGGACAGGTGCAGTATAAAGTTTTACCCTTTGGGCTCAAAAACGGCCCAGCACTTTTTCAAAGGACTATTAATACAATTCTGAGACCCCACCTTTTCCAGAGGTGCCTGGCGTACGTTGATGACGTGATTGTTTTTGGAGACTCTTTCGAAACTTTGTGCGAGAACTTGGAAATCATTTTACATGTTTTACAGGAGGCCGGCGCATGTATTGATCTTTTAAAATCCACCTTTTTAGCCCAGAAAACCCTATTCCTGGGGTACGAAATAGATCAAACCAGGAGCAGACCCGCCGAACGCAACGTGGACGCTGTGCGGAAATACCCCAAACCTGAAACTCGACGACAAATGCAGCAATTTCTGGGTATGGCTACATATTTAAGAGCGCATCTTCCTACAAATTTTGCAGAGGCGGAGAAAGCGTTACGCCGTACAATACCTTTGAAACCAGCAACGAGACTGATGTGGACGTCGGAAGCAGAAGCGGCGTTCGAACACTTGAAGAGTGTATTAGCAGAAACGGCACGCCTGGAGCGCATCGATCAGGCTCTTCCAATTGCCGTACATTGCGACGCGTCGGCGATATCACTAGGCGCAGTACTAGTCCAAACAGATGACACTGGACAAGAACGTGTGATTGAATACGCAAGTCGCACTTTAAAGGACGCCGAAACGCGATATTCGAATACAGAGAGAGAGCTACTGGCAGTGGTCTGGAGCATCACGAAAAAGTTTAAGCACCACCTCGTCTATCGAAAGTTCAAAGTCTACACAGACCACAAGGCTCTGTTTGGCAAACTTCAAACGGAACGACTCATCAGCTTCCAAGCAAAGTTGGTCACCTTTGATTTTGAACTGATTTACAGACCGGGACACTTACTTCAGGCCCCAGACGCACTCAGCTGAATCTCGGTGAATCAAGCAGAGGCGCGAATTACTCCTGCGGAAGAAGATAGAACACGCATTATCGACGAGTACCATGCTGAGATGGGACACGCGGGATGGAAAAAAGTGTACTTGACACTTAAGGAGAGGTTCGTATGGCCAAAAATGAGACAGCAAATATGGCAGCAAATCGTCACGTGCGAACTGTGCTTTAAATACAACCAACCAACGAGCACCGTCGGCGCACCCATGACACCAATCGAATCAAATCGCCCGGATGAAAGGTTAGTGGTCGATTTCTACGGGCCACTACCGGAAACCGAGGAGAAGTACAGGTATGCTATTGTCGCCGTAGACCACTTCAGCAAGTATATGGTGGCCCAGCCAATTCTCGCGGCTGACTCTCAAACTGTAATCCCATTCATTGCAGAGGTTTTCAGGCAATTTGGAATCTTTGAAATCGTTCACACAGATTGCGACTCGGTTTTTCGTGGGCATGTTTTTAAACACTTCCTCAGGGGCATCGGCGCGGAGCAACACATCGCGCAGGCTACACACCCCGAAGGGAACGGGTGTTGCGAACAATCAATAAGGACCCTAATGCAAATACAGGCGAAAGCGGTCAAAGGGCAGGAAACACAATGGGCGAACCACTTGGCCGATTCAGTACTGGCTTACAACTCTACGATACATTCCGCAACGGGGGTGACGCCAACGGAGGCAATGTTCGGGGTCCCACTTCGGCTCAAGTCTGACGAGAAATTCGGGGCACAGCAACAGAACTTCCAGGAACGCATGGAACGCATACATGAAACCACCGAGAAACACAGGACGGAGTTTATTCAACAAGCTAACAAACATAAACTCAAACACTTTTTTCCAGGTGACATGATTGCAATCTGTCCTCGTTTACCAACAGTACAGACGCATGCAGCAGGACGCAGATTCAGGACACAACGCCTGGGCCCATTTATGGTCATATCCTATGTCGGGAACGGAGAATACCACGTGGGAGCAGGTCCCGATGTGCGAAGAGCAAATGCCTGGGAGATGGTACCATTCCACGGACTACCAAGACAACCAGGAGCAGGATTTGAAAAACAAATGGGACTTATTCACTTGCCATCAGGACAGAACAGCGTCATACAGGCCAAGGACCACGGGTACGCGCGACCGCCAAGCGAGGCACCAACGCCGCAGGAAAGGGCCACCACACTGGATCACGCTTACGGACAATGCAATCCAGCGCAAAAAACACATCAAAAACGCGTGTACCGGGGTAGGCGAGAAACCTTCTTCGGGGGGGAGAGTAAGGCCGCACCCTTACGACCGAACGTGACATCTAGGGGAGGGAGACGTGAACCAGGGATGCGCGCGAACACAGGGGGTACGCAAACACCAGACTGGCTGGCGCCATGAACACGTGTTTCCGAGACACGGTGGAACCAGGGACACGTGGAGGATGATGACAAGGCGGAAGTGATCGGACGAGGAATCGGAGCGCGGAAGGAAGGGGCATTCTGATCTGTACTCTCGAGACGTGAAGTTGTAATCTCTGACCTCTAGTCTGTGACTTGTGAAATAGAAGGACGTGTGTGTGTTACCTTGACTGGAGCATTTCCTTATTGGGGGCTCGAGCCACCCTTTCCACACTAAACCTACTTTCAACGAATTTTCCTGCAACCGAACTCTTTCACAATGAACACCAGGAGTGGGGCCGTATACCCAAAAGAGCAAACCGAACCACGCACACCACAGGAGAGTGCATTGGAGGACGAAGGAGGAGCGGAGGAATTAACGCCCAAGGCAACGCGTCAGGACAACGACAACTCTACGTCATCATCCGCAAGCGTGTGGGAATCTTTACCACTAGCCACTCTACAGCTCTTGTCGGAAACATACCACCTGGGTCATCCCAACACCGGGTCCAAGGCGGAATATGCCATACAGCTGGAACGTTTCCAGGTACCGATTTCAGCCCTGCTACAACTACCAAAGCAGACAAACACCCGTAGCAGACATAGGAGTCCGAGCTCTGACTCTGATGACGCAAGGCAGCCGGCCTCGGTGACACGACGCCCGCGGTGGCTGAGGGAGTTACAAACCCCAGAACTGCCGAAGCAAAGGAGGGAAGAAGATTTCGAGGACTATGCTGCCCGTTTGAGGAATATGCTGGCCATCAATAAGGTCACGGACGAACAACGCATCTGCTGCCTACTGAACAACACGTGGCCCATCATACAATCAACCGCCAACCGTATGTACAAAAGGGGGTTCCAAGGGTTCGAGGAGTTGGTTGCGGCCATCGCACGACGTCACCCCACCCCACATCTGGAT